TAAACCCCTAAACCTTAAACCCCGCACCACCCTAAACCTCTAAACCCTCTACAGCCTGTACCACCCTGAACCTCTAAACCCCTCTACCACCCTAAACCACCCCAAAACCCTGCCTAAACCACCCCTAAACCCTCTAAGCCCCAGAACCCTCTAAGCCCTCCAAACCCCTATACCACCCCAAACCACCCCCAAAACCCTCTAAACGCCCTAGCTCTTTTGAGTTTTGCTTCGGTCTCCAGGGCCTGCACTGTGGCACGAAGCCCATGCGGCGATTCTGGGTCTCAGGCAGGGGGGGTCAAGAAATAGCGGGCTTTAAGGTTTCGGGGTTTTAGGGTTTAGGGTTTAGGGTTTCGGCTTTAGGTCTTAGGGTTTTTGGTTTAGGGTTTAGGGTTTCGGCTTTAGGGCTTAGGGTTTCGGCTTTAGGGTTTAGGGTTTCGGGCTTAGGGTCAAGAAGGAATCATGTTGTTCGTGTAGGTGATTCTAGAGAATCCCTTGTGGACGAGCTTTTTGCGTATGGGTTGCGGCTTCCTACCCAGGCACCTTCCAGTAGAACTGCTTGCCGGTTTCTCTGTTCTGAGCTCCTCCAGGCGACATCGCAGCTCCTTTGCCCGAGAACAACAACCGCACACACTCGCGGCAACCTGCCCGTGCGACAACGGCACCAGGACAGAAGGGAGAAGGGCAGAGCGTACCGGGGTGACGATGCGTTCACTGCAGGCGCAGTGTTTTGTCAGTATTTTCTAGACAGTTGGGAGAATGACCATTTGCCATGGTATAAAACTAGCAGTAGCTGTCACCAGTCAACATTCGGCGATGCGGCTTGTCCTTGCAACCAGTCCGTTTGCTAGCGCTGTGAATGTTGTGCACAGCATGAGCAAGGAGTACTATAGGGGCCTAAATAATAATTACCAATACTATTTTGGGGGGATCCTTATTATGATTATGGTATAATATATGCCCCCAAAACCCCCATTTCTAATTATGAAGGCCCCTACATTAGTCAAAACCTCTTATTGTCATTATTATTATTATTAACATTATTACTATTATTATTATTGTTATTATTATTATTACTCTTATTACTACTATTACTATTATTACTCTTACTACTCTTATTACTCCCATGGTCAAAAATTTTGTTGCAAAAAGCCGACTCGGTGACCGCCATCTCCATGAACGGATCTTCCCGAAGGGTTTTTCTCTTGGGATTCTGGGCTCAGGGTTCAGGGCTTCTAGGGTTTATAGGGTTTTTAGGGTTTATAGGGTTATAGGGTTTAGGGTTTATAGGATTATAGGGTTTAGGGTATAGGGCTTAAAGGGTTTATAGGGTTATAGGGTTCAGGAAGCAATGTGGAAGCAGCTTTTTTGCATGCCAATGTCGCAACCCACAGCGCCAACGACGGAAGTGGTAACTCCACAACTGCTATCGTCGGATCCATGATGATCCATGCCATCAAGCCTGCAGATAGATGCATGATCACCAGGCGTATGTGGGCTGTGATTACTTGTGATATTGCTCTTATGACTATGTCTACTGCTCTTGCCGTACAGAACTATCTCGTAGCAAAGCTTACACTACAACCATGAGCCCTGGCCCTTACCTCGAGAACCCCTTGTGTGGGGAAGGTCGGTGTGCCGATTGATTCGGGAAGTTTCGAATAGGTTTGAGTAGCTCAATAAACCAGCTAGAATGGCTGGCAAACTTCCCCTTACAGTCCCTGACATGACTACTCTACGGTTGATGATACAAATCCTGCATCACCCAGAAGAAGGAATATACCAGAATTCCCATAGTCTAGGGGCCCTTAAGCTAATGCAGGATTTATATCATGAAAAGTAGTACCCAAAACCCTGTTCTAATTATTAAGGCCAGGGTCCGACTTCCGATTCAGGAAGCGTCCGATCGAAGCAGCCGCCGAGCTGCACTGTTCGGTTTTGAAGTTGAGAGCGCGTTGTTCATCTTCGGCTGGCTCCGGACAGGCAAGAAAGGATAAAAGCAATATCAGTCACAGGTGAGAAACACTTCCTTTGCAAAGTCGTGAAAAGAAGTCGAGGAAGCCATTAAGCCCCAAGCCCTAAATGCCCTACGCCGTAAAGAGATCATTATAACTTACTAGCTGAATGAGTACACTTTAAACTTGTTGGGATTATATGACCCCTTAGAGAACGGAATGTATACACTTCTTTGGTGCTTAAGAACTCAGCAGCTACGTATAGAACCACAACAGAACTCTGACAAACTGACCAAGCCCCTAAACCCTGAGCCCGAAGCCCTAAACCCTACGAAACCCTAAGCCCTAAACCCTAAACCCCTAAACCTAAACCGTCCCAGACCAAAAAGTCTGCTGAGGCGACTGAAATCACTGACGCTGCCGGAGGCCGGAGTTCGCAGTAACATAATGGTTTAGGGTTTTAGGGTTTAGGGTTTAGTTTTTAGGGTTTTGGGTTCAGGGTTTAGTTTAGCTTTTAGAGTTTAGGGTTTAGTTTTTGGGGTTTAGGGTTTAGGGGCAGTATTATAGAAAGCCTAAATGGGTGGTTTTCTGAATTAGGGTCCCTTCTGGAGGGTCCTTTTTTGTGGGTGCTATATTGGGGACCTAAAAAGGGGACCCTAGTTTTAGAGAAGTACTTAAATAATTACCAATACTACTGTGGGGGTTCCTTATTATAAGTATCGCAGTATCGCATAATAAAACCCACAACCCTATTCTAATTATTAAGGCCCTAAATTAGCACGAAACCTACGGTTCAAAACTTCGGCCCGACACGGATCAGCAATGCCCAAACCTTCGGGATGCAGAAAGTTTTACACGGTGCGTACTAAGGTTTTTAATACAGGGGGCCTGCGTGATTGGAATAGGACTTTTGGGATATGCTACAGTTGAAGCATACAGGGACGATAAGCTGATACTATGACTACCTTTTTAGGCTTCTCGGTGCGACACAAACACACATATATAATATATAGCACGCACGCACACAATCTTGGACGTCGGTCGGTTGATGAAGTATCATGCAGTCATTGCTGCCGTCGGGTGATACTGCATGAGCCTGGAGTTGCTTCTTTCAGGGTTTAGGTTGGATACTAGTAACAGTTGAGTAGTATTCATCATATGGGTATATAAGGCCCTGAATAGTAGTCCTGTCGTAGACTGTTGCTGTATGGGCTTCCCAAGGTTTAGGGTTTAGGGAATACAGAGCCAGCCCAGACATCCGTTTGTAAGCAACCAAAGGACAGGTGGTTCGGCCCTGTGTAATGTCCTTCAGCGGCCTAAGTAATGAACCGATAAAAGCCAGGCCAGGGCCTCGAAAGGTTGGATAAAGGTATTCCCAGAGAACCAGAAGGAATATACCTTAAACTATAGGGGCCTGAATATTATGATTTAAAGTATATTCCTCAATTAAGGGGTATTGGTTTCTCTGGGTTAACAGTTAACGGTTAAAGAAGCTTGAATAATTACCAACACTGTTCCTTACGGTTCCTTGCTATACTTGTACTATAATGTACCCTAAACCCCAAGTTTTAGTGCTTCGCGCAAAGCTTAGCTGAACGTTCCGGAGATGCACAAGTCATTTGTCGCTTTGCTCGTCACAGACTTCTGTTCGCACACACCCTAAAACCTTATTCCAATTATTCAGGACTCTATATATGGGTAGTTGTCTAAATTAGGGTCCCTTTTGGGGTCCTGTTGAATAAGGGTGCCGTACTATATTGGGGACCCGAAAAGGACCCTAATTTAGAGAACTACCCATATATTGGCTTGGATTAATGATCGCTTGTTTAGGAACTCTGATTGCCCCTTCCTAGACTTAGTTCCCCAATATCCAACCTTTAAACTTCTTGGGTTCTTCTGGTTTAATAGAAATCTGAAAGTTCAACCCTTTATGTCCCCGGCTTCTTGGGGAAGTAAGCTCTAGGACATTTTCAGGTGGGTAGTTACCGTTCTAGGAGCTTATAGAAGGTCTAGAAGCCCTATAGAAGCCCTAAATACCCTAAACTCCCCACCTGTACTTTCCTTTAACGAAACCCTAGACCCTAAACCCCTAGACCCTAAACCCTAAATCCTAAACCCTAATTAAATCCTAAACCCTAAATCCTAAACCCTAATTAAATCCTAATCCCTAAACCCTAAACCCTTAAAAGGAGCTCCTAAACCCTAAATCCTAAACCCTTAAAAGGAGCTTATTCTAAGAGGGCTGCGAGCTTTGGGGAGGTGCCTGGAGCCGAATCCACGGAAGCCGCAGAGGTCGGCGTTGGAGTTTGAGGGTTTAGGGGTTTAGG